TATATAAATATATATAATCATTAGTGCAACTGGTTTTGATTTGTTTGCAATTGTTGCCATTTAGAAAAGTTCACATTTAGCAACACTGGTCGAGTTTGCCGCTGCCAGACGTACCGCAATTCTGTTTATTATCGTGTGTTTTTTGATAATTTTCTATTAAAATGGTATTAATAATGCCTATTAGCCCACCTGAGCACGGTCTCTTATATACCGCGAATAATATCAAGCTTAAGCTTGGAGATAAAATTGTTGGTCCCGGCACAGTATATATTTCACAAAAGTGAGTGCAAAATTTTTTCTGCACACACGAAATATTTAGTAATTGTTTTTTTTCGGATTTGTTTTTTCATGAAGCACGCTGTCTTGGCAGCCGGCTGATCTTGCTGAAGGGATTTCGATTGAATGGAAGCAAGTTAGCCTGCATGGAATTTCGTCGAATCCTAGAAAATGTATTTATTTTATGCTGGACCGGAAAGTAGAATGGGAAGGCGTCTATATGGGTCAATCTCCCGAAGTCAATGGACAGAACGGGGGCGGTGGGGATGAGCTGCGTCGAAATGCTGTTGCTCTTGCCAATAACGAAGTTGACGAGGGCAACGGCAGTGATGAACACGACCAGGATGATGAGGACGACGACGATGATAATTTCGAGGATGCTATCGATCAACATTTGGATGAAGTAACCGAGTGCTGGTTGCTACCTGACGATATTCACACTGTGGACACCATGTACAATGCGATGACCACTTGCCAGGCCCTGCACCCTGATTCGGCAGATAGCAACTCTGAGGATAGCGATCCGATGGAGGATGCAGGTGGCGTTGGAATGGCCTTCGATGACCAGGACATGGCTGAGGATGCACACACACTAGGACGCAACGGCGGCGAAGTAGGTGGCATGCGAAATCTAAGTCTGGACGATGATGATGAACGCTTCGAGGATGCGGATGAATAAGGCTGCAGAAAAGTGCACTAACCTACTCCCCACATAAACATAACATACATACGTATTTATATATTTGAATATTTTATACAAATTATAAGTCTAAAGAGTACGATTTGTGAAAATATCTGATTAGCTTTTGGAATACTATATACATATATTATACTAAACGCTGTAAGCGCACGAATCTCTATGTGTTTTCTTTCTTTGCTTGCTGATAACGTTTCAGCTCCTCTTCGAGTTGTTCTTCGCTTACGGGAGATGCCAGCTAAAAAAAAAAAAATTAAAATGTCTTTACCATATGTCATTGTACAAATACTTCATGTAGTATATTTACCGCATCGGCCACATCTAACAAGATTAATGCCTGCTGGTATGCGTCGCCTTTGGAGGGTACTTTGTCATAGTTCCAGTACGTAAACTCCTCAAAGGTGCCAGTGAGACGCAGTTGACGTTGCTCCTGATGTGGATCAGTTTCTTGCAAGACTACACCTTTAAACCCCTCGGGCACTGATTCACGCTTGCCCACTAGAGGATAACCTCTTAGTGAATTTGTTAGCACGCCGGGACCATATTCTGAAGATTCCCGCGTATAATTATTGAAAAACTTATCCACATTTGCACATTCCCCGTTGCCATCGATTTTAACTGGTAAGTAATGCAGTTGCAGCGGCCTCTTATTATCTAATTGCTTAGCATCGAAATCAAGTGTAATTGACATTCTACTTTCTTATTTTTATTTTCGCAAATATTTATGTATATATTTGGCACCAAAAGAAGCCGAAACACGAAATCCCAAACAAACACCGCCAAATTTTTCAGTGCTGTATAACGATGGCTTGACAAAAGTAGTCAGCAGTGTAGAAAAATCGTTTTACAGCACTACGTGTTGGGACGAACCATAAAATGGCGTTTCTCGTTGAACAAGAACTGATTTCTGCGCGATATTAGCATTATATAGTTGTAAAAATAATTAAATCGTGGGCCAAAACAGAACAAGTGATGAAAATAATGTAGTTATATTAATTGAAATTAAAGAAGTTGTTTTAAAATCCAACGGTGTGTACAGCTAACGTGCTTCATTCGTATTCAGTTGTCGCTCATACATACATACATACATATGTATATTATTTGCTCTCTCGCCGTCTCTCTGTAAGTATAAAAACGAGAGCAGTGCGTAAAAAAGCGAAAGAATATTTTTGTTGCAAATGTTGTTGCATTTAAATACGTAGTGTATAGTTAAATGCAGCTACATGCCTACTTCTATGTACGTGCATGTACGCAAATCGTATAATAACTAACAAGTGTGTGGCGGGCAGGGCGTTTACAATATTGCAAATTTTGTGGAAGACACACACAAACACGCACACACACAGGCACAAACAAAATAGTATGCACCCATACAAACGCATTGGAAAAAAATCAAATTAATTAAACGGCGAGTGAAATACATGTGTATATGTATATTGTATATATACAAATGCGTTCGTAGTATGTGCATTATTTAATACAATTTATGAAATAATAAAAGTCAGCAATTGTAAATTGCCTGCACGCTGCCTGCAACGGCTGTGTCCCGTGTATTCACATGAGTGTGTTTCTGTGTGTATGTGTGTGTGTGTCAGTGTGTTTGTGTGTAACATGTGCGTGTAAAATGGTTTTAAGGCAGCATCAACAACAACAACAAAAGCAAAACAGTTTCTGGTGAGTTGTGTGTGCTACCTGCCAAAGCCGATTTCGTTCACTTTTTTTTCGCCGTGTCTTTTATCTGTCGTCTATCTGTGCGCCGCCGGCACAGTTTTGCACGCCCTGTCTGTATTATGACACATACACTAATACCAACACTCAGGGACTTCATTCATTTTCAAAGCTCAGCAAACCACCCACACAAATGCAAGTGCTTATCTTAACGAACGAACGTTTTAGTTATCAAAATGCGTGTGTACTAATAAAAGAAAGAAGAAAAAAAAAACTAATTCGTATAAATTGAATTATGAAACTCATAAATAATCAGTTTTGTCATATTTCTATTGCAGTTTGCGTTCGCAGTGCCAACCAACAACACATGAATTATAAATATTTCTCTGTGCAAAAAATGACACAAAACTGCAACTGCAATAGCAACAGCAGCAGCAATAGCAACAACAACGGCAACGGCAACAGTAGCAGCAAACCTCAAGGCTACAGCAAGAGCGGCACCAGCTGCTACACCAATACCAACAACAACAGCAACAACAACTACGAAAATTGAGATACTTTTGTTTTCTGTTTCTTTTTTTTTTTTTTTTTGCTACTTCTCTCTACCTCTTCCTTTTACTTCGCTTCAATTAATTTATGCTGCCAACAACAACAAAATTAACAACATTTAATGCCCGAAAATGATCAACACGATTGTCCGACAGACCAATTGTTTTATAAGCAAATAACAGATAATTCAACTATATATATTTATA